AGATGTTGATAAGTGTGTGCATGATAGAGACGGAGTGTGGAGTCCAAACGAATGGAGACCCACACACCATCACCCACCCATGCAAGCTGCCGCACTTGGCTCTCCTTCCTGGGGTGTGCATCAAATGATTTCTAGGAAAGATTGTTCAATCATAATGTTACTTTTATTAACACAAAAATTTGGCAGAATGCATACTGAGTGAGGAGCATAAATATTGTTTACTAAATATGATCACTCTTATATACACAATTGCTTTTATCCTCCTGCAAAAAAACAAAATGAAAAACAGAGAACTAGAACTAAAAGATGTTGGATTTCAACACTGTATAAGGATATAGACTTATGAAAGCAATACTGGCACATCCATGTAACAGTATTCAACAAAAAGAGTGAATTTGACCTCAAGATTCTACATGGTTATAGAGAAATACATGAAGATCTTATTTATAATTAAACAAAAAAAACATACTGCTGTGTGTGTGTGTGTGTGTGTGTGTGTGTGTGCGCGCGCGCGCATGTGCATCTCTGCATGTAAGGAATAGATAAACACCAAATGGTTAACTTTGGGACTGTTAGGTAAGGGAATGAGATTTGGGACCAAGGGAGAAGGAGACCTTTCACCTTAAAATTTTCCTTTTGTAAGTTTTTCTTTTTTAAAACAATTGGAATGAATTTATTGTATAGTAAAACTTTTTTTAAAGAAAGCAATGCTAAGAAGTTTTTATTTTTACAACAAATTCCTACTGCAATATTATTTCTCCATCTTTAACACATATATGGATTTGCCTACATACACATGGCGTGGCAGAGAACCGTGTACTCAAACAATGCATGTATGCATCTATGGATACTAGATGCACATTTAAACATGCATGTTTTAAATCTCTTTAAAAAACTTCCCACCCTCATAGTCAAAAATGGCAAAAGAGGTAAAATAACGCAGAAAGCTATATATCACTTAAGTACCCTAAAACACAGATTCATAAAACAATTTCTAAAGAAGTTTAAAATAATTAGTCTTAGAATCCTCAGGAAGCACAAATTCAGTAAGTACAGAAAACATGGGTTAACTTGCCTCTATTTTCATGGCCTTTGGCTGAACCACGTAGATTTTGTTCCTATAGCCGCACCAGACTTTGTCATGTACCACAGTCATGCATCGGATGGAATGGTGAGGCCGTCCAAGATCTAACAGGTGATAGTTTGACAAATCCCACTGCCCATCTTTAAATTAAGAAAATAGATAATTACTTGAAGCACACCACCTTTTACTCAATTTTAACACAAAAAAACATTATGAAACACCCGCCGAATACTATGTATTCAGTACATCTTTTATTTGCAGAGACTGAGTTCTCTTATTCTATAAACTGTAGAGTTGAAAGAGACCTCAAAGGTCATCTGGTCCAACCTGCCACCCGATACCTGGGTCCCCATGCTCTCATTAGCAGTGGTGTGATAAATCAGTTATAAGTTATCTTTTTATAATAATATTTTAAGGATTGAAATAAATTTAAAGTTATTTTTAGGATATCACCTCTCTCGCTTGCATTTTGATATATTTTCTTGAGTAGCAGTCAAGGGTAACTCACTGCTAACACTTCAGGAATCGTGTATACTATATAATTTTTGTGATGACAGAAATACAAATGAGAAGGAACCACTGGACGCTTGCTTTGCTTTGTAGCTTTGCTTGAACAATTTCAGTGAAAGAAAATGTACTGCCTCACAAAGCAGCTGTTCCAATTTCAGAAAGCTATTAACTATATTAAAAACATTCCCCATACCTAGCTAAAGTCTGCCTTCTCGTATATAATTGCCCATTAGTCTATAGTTTTGCCCAACGGAAACAAAGAATAAATCCAGTCCAATCTCCTTGTTACTGCCGTATGTCTTCTACTTTCAAAACCAAGTGTCCTTGGCATATGTTTTGTACATTTCATAGTTTATGGCCCCTTCGTCCTAACTCTGCTTTGTCCATGTCTATTTAACGTTGTCTATCTACCAGAGTGATGCAAGATTATCACCAGCTCTGTTCTGGGCACTAATTTCTGATACTTAAGATGTTAAGAACTTCTACTGAGTTTGTAGTCAACCTTTACATAATTCTCACTCTTCAGACTTGTCTCCTCCATCTTACTCTTCTGAACCCAAATGCAGGACTTTACATTTATCCTTATTAAATATACTTTGTCTTGTTCTGTCAATATAATTTTGGATTCAGTTTACCAAAACATTTACTATTCCATTTTTTCTAGGCTCTACACTTACTAGCTGAATGACCAGAAACAAGTAGCTAAAATACTCTATGCCTCACTTTCCTCATCTATAAAATGAGGATGACAATAGAATCTTCTTCATAAATTATTATGAGGATTAAACTCAGATAAAGTCTGTAAAGGGCCTAAACAAGGTCAAACAGAGGCCTTTTACTCTTTTTGTTATGTAGTTAGTCATTAACCAGCAATCTCTAGGTACCAGTCAGTTACAAAGCCACCTTAGCACTATATCATCTACCTCACATTTCTCCAAGCACAAAAGGATATGAGACCGGGGAAAAGCCTTGGCTAAAATCCAAATTTAGTGCACCTATGTTTTAATAATATTTCCCTGATCTGATCTACCCACCTAGCAGGTAGGAGATGAAGTATCACTTTCGGGTGATACAGGTACCAAGGAGTTACGAAGTGTTACATGCTTAATTCTCCTAATTTAATTCACTCAAAGCAGGTTTCCTGACACCACCCCCTCCCCCACCCCGGTCTACAGATGGTAGAAACACTGGTATGAAAGAGAAAGAACAGAAATAATGTGACATGAAAGTTATTAAACCTTACTCAATTAAAAATTCTTTTTAAATACTTACCAAATGTAAGTGGATGCAAATTATTTTTAAAATAAGGGAAAAAAAGAAAAACGTACCCTCTCCTAAATTTCTCCCAACTGAAAAAGTATATGAATGAAAAATGTCTCCATATCACATTATATAAGAAGACCATGAAATGCTAAACTACTTGCTCATTATGGTAAGCATATTTTCACTGACATTATACCGTTAATGCATACCTCTAGGCTGGCACTCACATGTTTACTCATCTCATAAGTTGTTAGTATTCAGTTTAAACCTTTACTTTCTCCTATTAAGCATCATTTCTTCAAAACATATGGAGTTAGTCTGCTTGAAAACGATTTTGCAAAGGAACAAATAAGTGCACATGTAATATATTTATAAGAACTCACCAACTCCTCTGTGAAAGATTGCAAGGGTGCCATCCGCCAGGGCCACTAACACAATTCCTTTCACATGTCTGCAAGCAGGAAAGAAGATTTCAGAACTCTCCATTTGGGAATACAGAAGGGACCACATGCTACTGAACTAGTTCAGAGGCTCTCAGAGGGCCAGTATATGACAGATAAGGAGTTTATATCAGAGCCTGAACACTCTTTTCTTCACTGAGAAAGTCTTGCTATGAAAATGTCAACTGAACTAAATAAATAGCATGTGTGGTAACTCAGGTGCTCACTTTCTGTCTCAAACTCCCGGCCCCATTGAAGACTATTGAGAAAAGGTCCACAAACCAGACACACACCTTGAGTACAACTAAGAATCAGCTCTGTGACTTAAGAGACAAACTGATTTTTGATAGTCAACATATAGAAAAGGACTAGTAAATGCCTCAATCAATATATTCACAAAGTAAAAGGAATATTCCAAAACAAAAATAAATAGGTATTCATTGGTTTTTTTCCCCAAAGTACTAAAGAACTCACAGTACGGTAAGGAATCAACCTGGCAAGTTCTCTCTTCTACTTATAAAATTTGCTACTTTACTTTCTAGTTGGTTTTCAATCTCACTCAACTTCTCTAATTCTATAAAGAGGGTACAAAAAAAAATCTGGATATTGATTTAGTCATTTAGAACATCTTAGCTTTAACAGTCTTAAAATCTAGTTTATATCAAAACACATATTTTTTAAAGGAAGAATTTCTAAAATAAAACTTACACAATACTGAGAATGGAATCTTTAAGTTTAATAGAATGGAGACATTTCCTCCACTGGGCTACAGATGAATGGACATACAAACTGCAAGAACAAAATCAAGACTGGTAAGGCAAAGAGAACATCAAGTCATTGCTTATATCTAGTAACAACCACGAAGTTCCTTCAGGAGGAAAGAGGTACTAGTAACATACAAATTTTAGGAAAAAACAACATCAAGAGTGAAGGCAGGCCTAAGGCAGAGAAATAAGCTGCTTAAACAAACGGAAACATATGAAGAATGAAAAGCCAGAACTAGAATAATACAGGGTCAGGTGGTCTGAGGTTACCCCATATTTCAGAGTCCTTGGCTAAAATTTATTTTAAAAATTTATTTTACTTTTCTACTAGACTGAATTATAGCTTTCTGATGTCAGCACGGTCCACAACAGGGAGTGGCAAAACTGGGCTGCAGGACACATACAGCCCGCCACCTGTCGTAGTACTGTCTGCAAACTAAAAGTGGTTTTTACATTTTCAAATGGTTGGAAAAATCAGAAAGTATTTCATGACATATGATATCTGTATGAAATTCACATTTCAGTATCCATAAATCAAGTTTTACTGCAACACAGCCCCACTGATCCATTTACATATTGATACAATAGCTGCTTTTGCACCACAACAGCACAGCTGAGAATCATATGGCCCAAAGCCCAATGTATTTCTTATCTGACTCTACATGGAAAATATTTCCTAACCCCTCATTTTATAGTAGTAGACTCCCATGGAAAAGGTACGCTAGTGATCTTGCCTAATCTTCGGAAACATACAATTTTGTAAAACTCCCCACACTGCTAGAAAGTGAATGAACCATGTAATGTTAGTTATCAGCTCCTAAGCTTTCAGACTGGTTTTCCAAGTAACTCTACTAAAAAATTATATTTGGATTTGGGCCTTTCTGAAGCCAAATACATTAGTTTAATCCTGGGTATTTCCTGAACACACTCAAGCCTTCTATGTACGCATCAAAAATTCTGTTTCTGTGTGGTTCGGGATCTTCTATTTCTGGATCACCCAGATTTAAAATTTTTATTTACCTCTTCTTCCAAGAATATTATATAAAAGGAACACTGTGACAAAGAAACATATGGTTCACCATTCAGAACCAATGTAAGCCCAGTTTATGAGGTAGTTGCAACAGGAGCTCAAAATTGTGTATATAAAATTCTTTACTTTAATATGTACTTTTGTTTGTATTTATATGTACCACATTTTACTCTGATTTCAAAAGAAAATCTAAAAGACTAAAGATATTATATTAAAAGCGTTGGCACCTACCAGCCATTCTGAGCTCCAAGCCACATAGTTGGTAAAAGGCTACTCATTTTCTGGGCTTCTTCTCTCACCAGGTCTTGTTCATTTGGCAATAATGATATTTGATCTTTATACACATCTGAGTCATTACTGGGAAACGTGAGACAAAGGGGAAAAAAATCTGAGTATGCTTAGACAGTTTTCAGGGATGGATCATTTCTATATTTTAGTTTACATTTTAAAAAAAAGTAAAATTCCAGAAGCGCCAAAGTTAAATGCTTACATTAAATATTTCAACAATTGTACCAGAACAGCATTAACGTAGTAGGAGGCTCAAAGTGCAGAAAAGGGAGCTAAGACATGACAGTGAAATATAGCAGTTAATATCCAGACTATAACTATGGCTCTCCCTTAGTTATTTTGAATTTTATGAGTTTCTTCTCGGAGGAGAGAAGAGGAAGAGATGGTTTGTTTTAAAACCACACACAGAAATAAGGGTAAAGTATAAGGAATTTTCTAAAATAAGATAATAAGCTGAACCATGCTTGCATTCTACCCCCAAATCTTCTTTCTTTTAGACTGTCAGAGCATACATAGTAAAAAGATATAACTGGGCAATCGAATAACAAAAAGACAGATGAAGGTACTAATTCTAAAAAGATGGCTTTATTCCTTAAATTAACGAGTAAATGTTAATAGACACTTAGTTGTTTTATATACTAAGAGGAAGAATTTTCTATAAGGCCTAGAGTAGGCAAGAAAGAAAATTAAAGAATTCAGTAAATGGGCCTACGTTAACCAGCCTTTTAAAGGAAGAGTCTAAAACAAACTGTTTCCTAATAAAATGTTTGCCAGAAAACTAAATTCAAAAAAGTCATTCAAGCTCACATGGAAAATTGAAACAATGGCCAATTTCACTGATAGCTAGAGTGGGAGAGAAAGTAGGGGTGGAGATTAAAATGGCAAGAGTTATTAATAGAATGGAAGATGGTGAGTACAACAATTAAAAAAATACCAGAGGAGAAAATGACCAGGAAGATTTTGACCAAAATATTTTATAGACAAGACTTTCTTCTTCAGTCAAAAGGAAAAGAAAACAAATGGGAAAAAAAAAATCCAGAAAAAATAAAGTAGGAGGAATAAATGAAGGCATAGTAGGAATAAGTAATAACATCTAAGTTTGTCACAACTACGCCAATCAGTAAGAATAGTTTGCCTGTTTGAAATTATTTTGGTTTCTATTTTGTGTGCGTTTATCTGATTTCCTAAGTTGCTGACCCATTAGTATACCTTGACTGATACACTGGTGAGAGGTCTTCTGGGATTTGAACTCCCAAAGGATCTGTAAAGACGTGCTCTGTGTACACGCCTGTTTGGGAGATGTCCACAGTGTCTTCAGTTGACCCTGCATTGCCTTCTGTGGCTTCAGTTGCTTCTTCTGCTGTTGGAACATTTTCATCAACCTCACTACTTTCTGCTTCCATTTCTAAAAAATACATAAAACATGCTAACCATTCTGAGTTTGAACTTCTCTCCCAATAATTTCCTTACACAACCACCCACTATAGAATTCCAGTCCACCTACCCCCTCCTATTCCGCACTGTATCATGAAATTGAGAATTCATGATTTCATTTAACTGTCATGACAGCATGTTTCAGGTCTTTCATCCTTGTTACTTTAAGATCTAAATTAAGTCCATAACAAGGCATCTAGGATAGGCTCAGATTCTATACAGATGGTGTTTAAGGAGGATTGCTATACCTGGTGGTTTTTCCATCACTGGAGAAGCACCGTTGGTACTAGGGGAAGTGGCAGCTGCTGTCACACCTTCTGCTGAACAACCAACCACTGTGATGCCTCCCAACAGGCTGTCTGTTTCTGCTGAGCTATTGCTTGTCATGCTTCCACACAAAGATGCTTTATCTACCTGTCCAGATTCTGAAAGCTCTTCTCCTGCAGGATAGTCTGTTTCTCGTGCTCCTGAAAAACAGGACAAACCTTCCTTGAATGCTAAGGAAACTCATATAAATAGCATTATTCCATAAAAGCAACTATAGGGTTAAAAATAAGTGTGTTGGTGAGATAAATCTTTATTTTAATATACTGCCAAGATGGTAGCTTTAAATTTGATTTAAACTAATCTTCGGAAAATGAGTATGTAGCTTTAAAAAATTAGAACACTTCTATTGATATAAGCACAAGCAAACATGAAAATGTCAGAAATGACACTTCTGTTTTTAATGAGCTCCTCATCAGTCACCTGATAAGTTAAAAACAATGAAATCAAATTACATCTGACAAGTCAGCAAAAATATTTTGCTATTTGAAATACAGACTTCTATCCACCACTATTAAAAATTAATCATCTGGAGGGAAAAAAAATGGCGCAGATGACAGAAACTCTGTTCATCCCTCTGGCGAGCAAAGAAAGTTGTGACGAAAACAAGGAGCAACAGCAAGGAAAAATCGCCTGAGATCTAAATGAACAAGCCATACAACTAGGGAGAAATACAAGAAATCACCCTGTAACGGCAAAAGGTAGGACAGGGCGAGGACAAGGCTGAATGAGACCAAGATAGAGATGGAGGCTGGGCAGTGGTAGATGCCTCTTAAAGGGGCCACATCCTCGAGTGGATTTTCGTGGTGACGGACCTGCTTGCTCGAGCACCAGTGCTGATTTGGCTGCACACAGTGGGCACCAGGGACTTACAGGGAAACATTGTCAGAGTGAGGGCAGAGGTGAGACTCGCTCTGTAGAGAAGTGCAGGCGGTATCCACTGTTTCCTGTTGAGACCTCCTCAACTCCCAGTGTGTAGACACAGCGCCGCCATAGCCATGACGTCATCAAACTGGATAACAGATGACACTCCGTCCCTGAAACCCCGTCTCCCCCAACTTGCGGCCGCACCCAAGCCACATCCAGGTATACCCTCAGCGAGTCAGGTGCTCCTAGCTGGGCAGCGCCTAGACTCACACTGGAGGCAGGTGGTCTCAGTTTCTGGTGTGGCCTTTTGAGGCAACTATAAGCACAGCTTCTGTGGATTGCGTGCTGAATCTTAACAGGTGGTCCTTGAGGGATAGAGGCTTGGGCTAAGTTTGGCTTATAGCTGAACTCCTCTCAGGACTGTGCCACTGGACGCCTACTTCACAAATCCACACTAATAAGACCGGGAGACTTAGGAGCTTTGCTTAGTACATAGAAATAGACATGGAATGGCAGGCAAAATGGGAAGACAAAGAAGCAGAAACCATATGCAGAGATCCAGATATAATAGAGTCAAGTAATCTAACAAATACAGAGTTATAAAGATGGTTATAACTGGTTATAAAGATGCTCAATGAACTTTTAGGAAGTGTAAATAAATTCAGTGAGAACTTCATAAAAAACATAAAAATGGAAATGGAAATTATAAAAGGAAACCAGTCTAAAATGAAGAACACATTATCTGGGATGAGAAGTATATTAAATGGAATAAACAAAGGAATAAACAAAGTGAATAAAGAAGAGGATCAAATGCCCTATCTAGAAGATAGGAAAGCCAATCAGGACACTCAATCAGAAAAAAGATGCAAGACTATAAAAATAATTTAAGGAGGATATTGGACACTATCAAGGCTCCAAATATTTGTCTGATCGGCGTAGCCTAAGAAAATCAAGATGTTGAACAGCTGTTTGAAGAAATAATGATGGAAAACTTCCCTAACCTGGTGAAGAAAATGAACATAAAACCCCAGGAAGCTCAGAGAATTCCAAAAATCAGGGATCCAAAGAGGCCCACACCAAGACACACCATAATTAAATGCAAAAGGCTAAATACAAAGAAAGAATATTAAAAGCAGCAAAAGAAAAACAAATAATTACTTATAAGGGAACACCCATAAGACTGGCAGCTGATTTCTCAAAAGAAAGTATGCAGGACAGAAGGAAAGGCTTGGCAAAAAATATTTGACAGGATGAAGACCCAGGATATACAATCAAGAATAATTTGTCCAGCAAAGCTATCATTTAGAGTTGAAAAACAGATAAAGAGCTTCCCAGACAAAAATAAGCTAAAGGAATTTATCACCAACAAGCCAATATTACAGGAAATGTTGGAGGGACTTCTTTAAGAAGAAAAAATACAAAAAACTCACTTCAGATTAAAAGACACACACAGAGTAAAAGGAACGGGATGCAAAAAAAAAATTGCGTTGATGGACCTAGGAGGTATTTAAGTCAGACAGAGAACGATAAATACTATATGATTTCACTTACATGCGGAATCTAAGGAACAAAAAGAACAAACTAATCGAAAACAGACTCACAAACAGAGTGAACAATTTGGTGACGGACAGAGGGGACGGGGGTTTGAGGGGCTGGGAGAATGGGGTGAAGGGTTAAAGAAGTACAAATTAGTAGCTGATGGATGGTCACAGGGATGGGGAGCACAGCATAGGGAATGCAGTTAGCATTAATACGTTGGCTAGGTGGAGGGTCAGGGGAGGGAGGACTCAATTGGGGTGGTCGTTTTATGAACTATATAGATGTCGAACCAATGTACTATATACTTGATACTAATTAAATAAATTTAAAAAATTAATCATTTTAAATGTATTCAGTGCCTTAAGATATTTAAAAACTAAGCATTTACAGTATAAAGATAAACCTCTTCATTTTTTTAAATTTAGAAAGCTGTATTCTTACCAACATTTGAAATTTTTATTATAGTCAATATACACAAATACAACACAAAGCTGGCATTTTAACCGTTTTTAAGTGTAAAATTCCATGATTTTACAATGTTGTACACCCATCAAAACTATGTCTAAAACTTTACCATCACCCCACAAAGAAAATCTGTACCCATTAAACAGTAACTCTCTGTTCCCCAAGCCCCATCCCTGCCTGCTCCTGATGATCTCTAATTTACTTCTGTCTTTATGAATTTGTCTAATCTAGATGGCTCATATAAGCGGAATCGTACAATTTTTGCCCTTTTGTGCCTGGATTATTTTACTTAGCATAATGTTTCCAAAGTTAATCCATGTTGTAGCGTGTATCAGAATTTCATTCCTTTTTATGGGTAAATAATATTCCATGGCATGGATAAATCACAAATGCCTTGAAGTTTTATATCAATGTTTTAACATCATGTAATATTTAATCCAAAATTTTAGAGGGCCGCACCTTACTAATCAATCTAAATACCCCCTTGCCCTGTGCCTCCCAATCATCTTCTAATATTATCATTGTTTTATTTTTTTCACAACTGAAAATATCTTGTTTAGTCATTTGTTCCCAATTTATTTTTGGTCTTCTCCAACTAGAACTAGAACATAAACTCCATGACAGTGGTGTATAACTGTATCTTCAGTAACCAAATTAGGTCCTGCAGAGGAGGTGTGGACAGTGGGAAGTGGGGCACAGCTCACTCTTACCTGGTACACTTGCTATACACAGAACATGAGAGTTGCAAACAGTGAAACTGTCTAGGATGTTGCCTGGTTGAATAGCATCAATAATGATAACTTTTGTAGCTGAATGAGTACTGGTACAGATCCAGACTAGACTAGATAATTCTTCTTGATTTTTCAACTCCTTCTGCTGTTCCTGCAGAGGCAAAGCAAGGAAAATGAATGTTTGGAATGATCTATGTGTAAATATCCAAAAGGCTGTGCTATCACAGTCAAGGGCAATACTATTTCAAGTTTATTTCCTGATTACTTGGAAGGCTGAAAATACAACTGCCTTTCCATATTAACCAGCATACTAAACACTAGCAGTTAAAGCAGATCAGTGACAAGAACATTCTATTATTGTGATTGTGACAGCTGTTACACAGATGCATGTATTTGTCAAAACTCTGAACTGTACCCATTTCAAGTATACACTTTACTGTATGTAATATATACCTCAATAAAATTGATTTTAAAAAGAAAGAGTGAGGAGTAAGCAAGGGCATACTGGTTCTAATTAGAAACAAGTTTTGGACCAAAGAGCTAAACTAATAGCCCCAGACATCAGGAAGTCAAGTAACCGCGCACACACCTACCTTAAGTTCCTGATCCAGCTTGTCTAAACTACTCTGAGATGCACTTCGCTGTTTACTGCCTTCTGTATCCAAACCAGCAACATCCTTGTAAAATACACTTGCTCCAACAACAGAACCACCATCTCTCGTCTTCCCACCAGATAAATTGACTCCAACAGCACACCACAGCTTTTTGGGTTTAAAAAAAAAGGTATTAAGTCACTTTCTCTCTAAAAATGCTTAGAATTCTTCACATTTTCTTTAAAAATTTAATGATTATAAATATAGATCTTTAATATTCAAAGTATTCCAGTCTAAAACTAAATAATAATCTGATCCACAAAAATACAATTTAACATTTTTGGTTTAGAAAAAAATCCACCCAGATTTTAGGATGTATCTCCTTTAAGTTCAAAGTTACTTTACCTTCATTGATGCGTCTTTTTCATCAAGAGGTCTGAGATAGACAGGCACAGGTAAATTTTTCATCTTATTTTCCCCTTGGCCATTGGTTACCTAATAATTGGGGAGAGGAGAAAAAGACACATTGCTTAGCCTCATCAAAAGTGAACTTACAGAACCGCTGGAGACATGGGCAAGCTCTGTTGTTACATATTTACTCTTTGAAATCAAGTTCATTTTGTCATTCTTATTTGAAAAATGAGAAAATCGAATGGAAATTAGAGAAAATAAACAAGCTGCTATGGGAGCTCAGAAGAGAGACGCTAATTCACATCTGTGTGGGGGAGGGAAAAGGGTGGGGAGAGAGGCAGGGAGGGAGGGAGGGAGGGAGGAAGAGGGAGAGGAAGAGGGAGGAGAGAGAGACAGAGAGACAGAGACAGAGAGACAGAGAGAGAGCGAGAGAGCGAGAGAGAGAGAATTATGAGCTGAGTGTTTTAGGAGTAGGAAATATGGAGCAGACTTGTAAAGTTCCTGAAGACCTAAACTGAGTTTTAAGACAACAGCTAGAAAGGTTCCATGCCAATGGCTTCTGAAAACTTTTAAACAATAGATGCTGTTTGTAAAAAATGAAATCTTCAAATATTAAAACAGCTAAGCACTTCAAGTTCTATGTATTCAGCTACCTCCCATTGACCCCTCTCCCTCCTTACAAACTCAGAGGCATTTCTTGTGAGTTCTAGGGCTCTGGAAAATAACCTGAAAACCACTATCCTCAACACACTTCTCTCTAAATGGGTGCCAAGTCCATACAGCTTGAAATGAGCAGGTTTGGGGTATATATTTCGATTCCTTCACGCCCAGGCATCCTCCTCTCCCCCTGCATTTCTCACTAGATTCCCTTACCACATTCACACGTTACCTGTTTGTACTTTTGAGGCAGACTCCAACCAAAAGCCTGCACTCTACCATCTTCCTTCTGAACGTGTGCCTTTACCTGACGATACTGTTCTCTTTTTTGTTCTCTGCGTGAGGCTAAACTAGCTTCAGTTCTAAAAGAAGAAGAAATGTCCTTTTTTAATTAAGTGACTATAACAACACCTCTCCCGCTAAAACAGCAAAAATAACCACCAAAAAAATTACATGATTTCAGATTAGTTTATCTCAGACTAAAATTCCTCATTTAAAAGTGTTATATTAAAACTGATATTGTTGTTTTACAGAGAATATAGGTAACTTTAACAAACGGCCTGTTATATTATTATGTTGAATCACCAGCCATCAAATTTCTATCAGGTTTCAGATTTTGGCCATATAAAAAGGAAAAATTCTTAAATATTTTTGGCTCCTCCTTTCTTTTTTGTTCATTTAACAAATATTTACTGAAATTTTTCTAATGCCAAGGAATGTGCTAGAAGTGACGTAAGATGAATAAATCAATGTCTTCTTAGGAAGATAATACAGGTTAACTTTTGGATTTCACTAAATTATTTCAGAAAACAAAAAATGTAAACTGACTTGGTAAGCATTAGAGCTGTGGAGTGAAATACTATGAAAATGATTTTGAAAATAATTTGTCTTTCTCTGGGCCATTTAAATATTTCTGAGCTGACTTGCTACGTATCTCATAGTTAACAAATCTATCTCTGCGTCAGACACTTTACAGACATTGTAAAATTTAATCCTAACACTCCGAGATAGGTTATCATACTCATTCCTTAGGCAGAGGAAATGGGGCTCTGAGAGGTTAACTTGCCTGGATTCGTGTACCTAATGAGAAACAGAATCAGGATGGAAAACCAAGTCCTTCTGGCACCAAAGGAAGTGTTCAAACATTTAGGATAAAGGCTTACATAGGCCTTTAACATTTTGATTAATATTTATCAATGTTGTAATATCAGCAAAAAAAGACATTAAAAAAATTCCTTCTCTTTATGAAGACTGTGAAATGCAATTTTCATAAAAGGTGTTGACTACAAGTAATTAAGGGTAGCCAAGTTACAGAAATAGTTTATTTATAGATTTATCTGAACTCTTATAGCTGATCTGATAAGCTGCAAGAATATTCTGAACTGTTAACTTATTTAGGGCAAAATCACTAGTCTGGAAAATACTTACTCTTCGCTAAGGAAATCAAAAGCTTTGGACTTATCCCCAGGGAGCTGAGATAAGGTGCTGCTTCTTTTCTTGACAGAAGGAGTAACATGAGAGGTGGGTGCATTATACTTCAGATTAACAGGTGGTTCAGGCTTCTTAGTAGTATTACTTGAGGAGCTAAAAAGTCGGCTGAAACTAAAAAGAGGTAAAAAAGTTAGCAACTGAGTGAGAGAGAAAGAAGCAGAGAGAGAGAGCTTATTACATGCACTGTGAAGACAATCCATAAATTCCCACAAATTCTGGAGTGCTTTTTCTTACATGGCAACGAGTTAGAAACTGGCAAAAAGATTTTTTTTTTGTAGTCACACAGTGCAGTCTTAGCAATAACTCACAGCCAAACGTAGTCATTCAGGAAAGAGAAACTATTGCTTATGCTTGCAGATCTCTGTTCTTTAATTAGTAATTCCCATAACAAAAGGAAGAGGCTCTTAAGTACAGGGAACTTCTCATAATGAAGACATAAAGTAAGATGGTTTCTTTAGGCAGCTCCTACTTGGTGCAATGTAAGAGCGATGGTTAAGCAGCAACGTTATGGCTGCATGGTTTGGCAGGAGCCTAGTACGCCAATTCTAAAAACAGTCATAATAAAGCACTAGAACACATATTACCATTTTACCACACAACCTATACATTTTGTTAGGCTCAATTTAAATAATTATTTTCACAGCCACTCAAAAAAAAATGGCAACATTTCCACTAAAAAGCAGATTCACCAAAAGGGGTAAGCATTAAGCACAGTATATGCACAGTACTTCTGGCATGAATATAATTAAAGCCCAAAACAGACAGACACACTACTCAAACCCCACAAACACTAAATTTGTAATCCTTGCTTTATAAAGTTCCTTACAATCATACAACCAATGGATCAGTAACTTATTTAATGGAGATCCAGGTAATTATCATCTCTATGAATAATTCCCCATTATTTTATTTAACTTAGCAGAGGATTCCGCCAAACGCATAACCAAAACGATGCGGCTTACGACAGCATGATTTTTGTCCTCAAGAACAGCCTTACCGAGCTGGCACACTACATTATCAAAAAGAAAAACTTCAGTTTAGCTATATCCTCCAAATTAAAGAAAGGGAGGAAGGAAGGGAGGGAGGGACTGAGGAAGGGAGGGGACACCAAATCATTCTTGAATATAAATTTTGACTGTAATCTTATCTCAAAGTGCTAATGTCTTTATGTGTTTTTAGATACTTACAACTGCCAAATGCTTGACCTTTTTTTTTCCTGCATGGCTGGATTTTCTCTTGATGCTCTACATTAAAAAAGAAAAGAGAAAAAAACGTGTTATCGGTGAGGTTTTCTAGCTTTCTATCTGAAGAGCCAAGGACCAAAGTTCACGAGATATATACACAGAGGAGAGTCAACAATTAAATTCAGCAAGTAGTTACTTTGACCTACCATGTGTCAGCCAGTCTGCTAAGGCTACAACTAAAATAAAGTGCCATCCCTTCTCCAAAGAGCTCACTCTACTGATAGAGACAAAATTGTTACCTGTGCTGGACAGACAGCCAACATGCCTGAATGTTAATATTTAAAATTTTTTATTGAAGAGAGATCCTCCAACTCTCCCTTTTATCAAAATATTGCCTATGTAAATCCCTATTTTTACATAATGGTCTCTATCACCTTACATTCCCAGCTCTCATAAAGTGGCTTGTAACTTTATTGTTCGGATGGGTCATTTTTCACAGGACTAAAACTTTTCCATCACTGAAAAGATGACCATGGAAGGGGATAAACTAAATTGACAGGTAATTCAACAAAATTTTAGAAAATAAGGCATTCCAAACTGATTTAATATGGTGGTAAGGATTCTGCCATCACTATGAGAGCCGACTTTTCATTTTTTAAGACTAAATTTAAAACATCTTTTAATTCGGTGGAAAAGTTAAAAGTAAGCTACCTTTCTTTTCACCTGCTGACTACCATTTGGCTGCTAGAATTAAAAATAGCAATGAAAAGTGGAACCTGCCTATATGCCTCAGTTTTTAAAATATTTTTTTCATTATTTATTTAATAGCCATTAAATGCTAGTGTTAAGAACACATTTCTTATGACATTGGTTTCTTTATCCAATCAATAAAGATTAGAATACTGATCTCGTTCCACCCTGATAGCTATAAGCAATTACAATTTTAGCAAATTGTAAATATTCTATACAAAAGATTCTAGTATGACATTGGTTGAGGGTATATAAACTGGTAAATAAATTATGTAAAAAAATAAATGATGTAATCATAAGAAAGTAAAAGTTGGAGGTTAGAAAATATGTTCATCAACTTTAAAACAATGTGTCAGTGTTGGTAAATCTAATGTGACAATCCGCAATCAAAAATATGGGCAAATTAGGGGGTAACTAATTTACAAACTTTTCATGAGCTCTTCCTAAATTAAAGGAATACTGTTACTGAGAACAGGACTGTTAGACGGCAGCATTAGAAGTGAGATTTAAGATCTGACAAAGATCTCGATGGAAGTGGCATTTTGCATGAACAGTCAGATGGAGGTGGGAGAATTCAGCATGAGCATTTTACAAGACACTGAGTAAAAATGATTGTTTCCTATGTGGTATATGAAAGTCTTAGCTTTTCCTGACATTATTGCAAAAGTAGTGTCAATTTCTATGTTCTTTTGAAAAATGACCATCATCCCTCAGTAATAACAATTGTATTTTAGAGGTTTTGGGAACATTATCCAAGAGCCCTTACCTACCCTACAGGCACCCACTTAGATCACATTCTGTTACTAATTCCAAGAGTTATTTTAGAAAGTCTCTCCTACTAAACACAGCAAGGGGCTTGCACTTCCAAAGCAGGTCTCTAATTCCGAATGAAGAAATATTCAAAACTAGGAAACAATACTAGAAAAAACACCAGACGTATTTCTCATACAAACCGAATCATCTCCGTCCATCGTACAGCTTCCTGAAGCTCCATTAATCTCTCTTTATACTGGTTTCTCTCCATTAGAACACGGGCCATTTCTACTCTAGTAAACCGCTTCCTCTGGGCTGTGGGAATATCACTCTACAATGAAAAGAAGACGACAGATCACTCCAGGAGCCTATGTCTGTTTTGGTGTTATCTCAGACTTAAGCAGAATCTTTTAGCTTTTAAACATTCCTTAATTTCTTATGGGATGGATCACTTAAAGAAAAAAAGTCTTATAAAAATAAAATCAATAAAGAGATTTACATAATTACTTATGACTGAAAAGAAGTAGATAATTTAATTTCTGAATATAAATACAGATATTTGAACATAAATGAAATACAGAGTAGCGCAAACTTTGACCTAAAACCAAAAAAGTTAACTGTTATCTATATAGAGATTTAATATGCTCACCTGGAAATGTTGCTCTACCAACATTATTTTAAATTCATGTTCTATAACAAATGCTAGTCATTCAGAAATTACAAGTTAGTTCCAAAAGGGCTTCTTTTATCTCAAACTACCAATCCATATGCACCCAAGGCCAGTATAAAACATTAATTAACTTACTGGCTAGGTATCAAGGTACTCAACTGTAAGAGTCACTAAAACACCAACAGAAATACGAGATGGAGACAACCACATTAACTAGACTTCTTCTTAGGGAGAATAAGGGATGCTGAGTATGGGAAGACCACAAAGAGGTATGCTCAAATCAACTTCCTTTTACTGCTGATTTCTAAAGGCTCTTCCAGAGAAAGGCTGGATTAATTGTAAAGCTTTTGTTTTGCTGAGTGGAATATGCACCTTTTGGATCAAAGCTGAAAGGTTTGGAACAGTAAAGTAAGAGACTGAGCTTAGACCTCAGCAATCTCCTCCTCTACCCTTACCACAGAACTTGGCTTCTCCTTTAAAAAAAAGCCAAAGGATGACGAATGATTAAAGGACTCGCAATACAGCAATCCCACTACTAGGTATATACCCTGGAAAAACCAGGAGACTTGTGCTATAATGTTCATATCAAGAGCTACCATAGTTTGTGGTAGTAAAAAGCTAAGAACAGCTTAAATATTCATTAATTGTAAAACAGATACATAAATCGCAGTATATTCATATGAGATATTATAAAGCAGTGAAATGAATGAACTATAGCACTATACTAAAACACAGGTGAATATCAAAAACATAATAATAAGTAAAAGAAGCAAGTCTCCAAGACTAAATACAGTATAAAATGCAAAAACAATGAAAATTAAAACATACTTTATACAAACACAAACATGAAGAAAATTTTTTTAAGGTGAGAAAATGCTAAATACAGAACAGTAGTTTCCTCTGGGAGGGAAGAACACACAGTAGCTTCAATGTTTGAAAATGTTCTAGATCTTAGGTTGGGTGGTGGGTTTATAATGTTAATTTATTACAATGTTAAGTTACTATTCACAACTTACTTGTGTTAAATACATTTGTATGTGTCAAATATTATATTAAAAAACAATTAAGACGTTGAAGGGGCACCGACTAATTATTCTGTCCAGGACAGCCCTATATCTCAAGTCTGATGCTTGACTACCAAACATCTGTTACAGGAATGATAACCTAGCTACCAACAGAATAACTAGTATGCTAATAACATTGGCAAGAGCTCATATTTATTGTTTTGTATTTAAATATGTTGACAACAATATGAACTAGTTGCCTAGCATTGAAGTTCTAGACTTCAGCTTTTTATGTTTAATATTATTAACCAATTATTACTAAAGTTTCATATTTCTAGGTCAAAATTTCAAGCAAAACAAAAAACTCCAAAATGTCCAGTTGGTCCTTGAGCTTGAACACACACACACACGGGTCCGAGCACAGAGCCACAGGGGAAAAATCAGCACACCACATGCAGCTACAAAGCTCTGCATCTGGATACAACATAAGCTATCTTATTCAGGACCAAAGACATGTCTTCTGTTTTGTTTTGTTTTTTTAATCTTTATACTATTCTATCCAAAGCTTAATTATCAAGATTCCCCCAAATACCAAAAATGTGGTAAGGTAAGAAAAAAGGTCCAAAATTATAAACCTACATCATCATCATCTTTTGCTTTTTGCCTTGCATCTTCGGCTTCTGCACGAGCTCTAGTGAGAGAAAAAACAAAACATAATGTGAGTTGAGTTCATCTTTTCAAAGAACAAAAGAATAGGTCAAAAATTTTAACCACCACTTAATGATTATTTTTCTTTTTCCAAACAATTTATTAAGCTGCCTTCATTTAGGGGAACGTTATCATAGTACTGTTCTCAGGAACAAAAAAAACACAAACAAAAACAAAAACAAGTATTAAAGAAATCTGGGCATAGGAAAACAATGAATGTTTCTAAATTCCTTATTAGCAATATTTGAACAGTTCTTTCACATCGTGACAAGCACAAAAAAAATGATAACACTCAGAAAATGGAGGGGCCTGCTCACAGCAGAAGCAATCAGCGGGGCACTTTACCCTTTGGCAGGCAGCTCTTGCCCCTTCCTGACTTGAGAAGGCTGAAGGCATCAGTCTCAGCATTATATCCATAAACCTATGTGGCATACTCGCAAAGACAGCGTGGTTTAGAACACCATAGTGAAAACTTACTTCCTCAGCTCTTCCTCCAGTTCTTTGTTCTTTTCCTCCAGCTTCAGTTTGGCTTGCTTTACAGCCTCCAGTTCCCCTTGTAGCACATCTTTCTCACAGGTCAGTTCATCTACTTTTGCTATCAAATCATTCTTCACTACATTCAATGCATTTCTAAAAAACACATATTTCAAGGGCATCATTATAAATAAATAATCTTTCCATCTTTTAACTTATTCTTTCGTAGATGAAAGTAACTACACAATCTTAGAGCTGAATAATTGAATACTTCAAAGATATTCTACCTGATGTTGTTTGTAGATAAAGGAAAAAAGAAAAACAAAGCAACGGTCTATTACCTAATCAGTAGAGTAATATTAATCTTTAAATTGATCTTTAATAACTAATGAAGGAAAAAGTCTAAACTGGAAAAAAAACTGAAAAAAAAATCTAAAATCTACTTCTTTTGGGGTATAACTGGCATAGGACCTCATTACAACTGTATTCTATTTTGAATACACACACACAGATGTTCCAAAGTTGCTCTGACACAGCAAATTAACAAGGGGGCCCAATCTGCTTTTCCGCGCAAGTCAATCTGCCCCACTAAACACGCGAGTCAATCTGCCCCACTAAACAAGACTCCAATGTGTTTGAGGGCCCAAGACCCCATAAATTATACCTGAGAACCTATGGAGAAGAGCTCTGAAGAGGTGAGCTAGGTATAGGTCAAAACACTTATGCACAAATAAAAGAAGCCCCAGGAAAAGAGGAAAAAAAACCCACAAACATCCTGGAGAGGGACCAGAAAACGCATAAACACACCTAGAATATTAAAAGCATGGATACTTGTAGAGTGGAAAGGAAACGAAAATCTCTGCAAACAAATGAGCAATTAAACATAAACATCAGTAAAATTAGGTCCCATGACCTATTTACACATGTGTACACACAAAGGAGGGGAATGAGATTGAGTAATGAAACTTCATTAGTGTTGTGCTGAATTGAAGAAATATTGGACTTGGACAAGAAGAAAATTCAGTGTCTCTTGTTCTTTGTTAAAATTTTATATATACTTACTTGGTTTCCAACAGTTGTGTATTTTCTAATATCAGATTCTCGACTTCACGGCCCATTCCTAGAAAAAGAAAAAGGATAAAAACTTTGAAAATAAATTTATCAAAAATTATATGAACTTATAAGCTATAATTGCACATTTTATTTTGTAAATTTTATCTGTCCTTTAGAATTTTCATTTTGTCTATAATTTCATTTGATATATGTGTACTTGAGTGGATTATAAAATTATAATTATCCATCACAAAACAAAGCTAAATATTTTGTTAGCCAATTCTTTATAACCGTTAGTCTAGATTTTCTAACATAATATTTCAAAAGAATCAGACTTTTCTGCCAAATAGTTTAAAAGGCAGCAGAGGAAAAAAGGATAGCATTAATATGGATCAGAAATCTTTTCCAAATCACAGTTGGTATTGTTGGCTTTGGCCTAAAAATTAGGCCCAATTCATAGAGAACAGGCAGAAACAAGGCCAAAGGAAGACGGAACCCCAATGCAGATGAAACCTTACCAAAGAAATTATGGTCTTAAAGCCCATGCATTCCATGTAAAGCAAAAACAAAGAACAAGAAATGTTTTATGTAAGAAACAGAGTGAAAATAGATCATTAATCTATAAAGTTTTATGCATGACATGAAAAACATCTGGAATCACAATGCTATGATTTAATGCATAACGATGGCAAAAGGACAGAAATTACAATGATTTTCTTTATTCATAAGGATGTTATACCTAAAAAAATGCTTCTGCATAATAAAGTTAAATATAATTAGATTGAAAACCCCAAATCAACAATATAAAGTTTCCTTCAAAGTGCCACTTCTGAAATGATGATGTTCAGTTGTCACTTCATATAATTGTGTTTAATAATTTAATGAGTATTATAAGGTAGGCAGCTAGAGCATCTGATACAAGATCTTTAGGGAGAAGAAAATTAATTTGCTACTCATAAGAAACTGAAGAAATAAAAGAACATACTAAGGAACATATCTCAAAAAGTTATCAAAAAAAAAAGCAAAGCAAAACAAAACCAAAAACCCACTACTCACTTATCCTAAGCTAATGTTGAAAAAAATCACATACAATGGAAGTAGTATTCATAACCCAGCTAAATAGGAAGAAAATATTTCTAAAGAAAACTACATAAGATGAAAGAGTTAACTTATTCCCTTATTTTTAAAAAAGGTAATATTTGGACTTATATTTTGTCTATATTATAATTATTTCAAATAGTCTCAAAGATCAGGGTACTTCTATCAAGGAAGAATGAAATTTAAGAACTAGTGCTTATTTAATTTTCTATGTATGTATTGTCCAAAACCTGAAAATAATAATAATAAAAAAAACTTAAAAAGTTTCCATATTCCAATTCCAAAATGAATTTTGGCAAGATATGTTGAATCTTTGCTTTAAACACTAATGTTAACTTCCCAATGAAGCTACAGTCAGAAGAAATAAGGTTTAGATTGGTTTTAAAAAGTATAATGACTATAGTTGCTATAAACTCTAAGGCATATAGGAAGATAAGCTTAAAAGCTGAAAATATATGCAGGGCAAAACAAAACAAAACAAAACAGTTGAGCAGAAAAAAATTATGAGAAAGCACTAAATGAAAACAGCAGCCAAGAACACCTCATTTAAAAAGCAGTAATTTTAAAGTATTTAAAAGCATACACACCAGAATACTCTCCTGGGTAAGCAGCCCAAGAGAAAAACGAATGAGAATCTCAATTAGATTGTTTTTAGAAAGAGCTATGCTCATTTATTTCAAAAAATGGGAGAGGGAAGACAATAAAATTGAAAAGATGTGGAGAAATCATTAACTAAACATAACAAAGTGTAAATATTATAAGCACAAAAAAATGAAATATGTACTATAAAGGAATCATATCCTATAACATAGTTTCTAAAGTTTACACATTCCCAATGAAGAATTCTCTTATAATCTAGCATATAAATTTAATATATCATCAATAGAATTGTCCAAAATTTTCACTATGAAATATATTAATAATCACTAACTCATAACTATAAGAAAAACATAACTTGAAGTGGCTCTATTTGTATTTGAGACTTTAACCAAGCATAAATTTGAGTCTAATATATTTAGAAACTACCTATTTATGGAAACAAGCAAAAAACTGCCTGACAGTTTTTAAAATCACAGACATCTCTTTGGGATTTCAGCATTGAGTCCCAAGCTAGGTCCATAGATGGGCCTGTGAATGATCTGTTAATCTCTTGAAAAACTATGCACAACTTCATCTAGTTCTACACTATCATTTCTCCAAAAGTACATTGCTCTCTTACAAATTCTCTAGTAAAGGAGTTTTAACTCTAAAAGGTGAAGAATCACAGATTCACAGGTAAAACAAAACTTAGGACTATTAGGAATCTATTCACTTACTTGCTGAGCTATGAACTAAAAACTCAACAGTGAGCAAAAGACATAGCTGTTGTGGCCACACTGAGCTTATAGTCTGTTCAGGGAGACAGGTACATAAAAAATTATAGTAAAGTATGAAGAGTGACATAATAAATAAAATGTAGTGATATTGGAAAACATTTCAGGGACAACTAAGCTTTAACTAGGCTATCAAGACAGAATTTCCAGAGAAAGGTGTGCCATTGAAGCACAGGCAAGAAAGAGATAGAGATAAAGATAAAGAAAGGAAGCAAACCATCCTTTGTGATTGATTGTGAGGGAAGAGGGCGAGATCTAGGATAGAGGACTGAATGGGTGGCGAAGCTGTTTATTCATTGAGTTAGTGTATGTTGGTATAAGAACAGCCTGGGGGCCAAGACAATAAAGATGATGATAAACTGAGTGTTCGGCATATCAAGCATAAGCCCTACAAATCATCTTAGGTGTCTATGAGCTGGTTGTAAGGTATAGTCTGGGGCTCTCGAAAAAGACCTTGGAGATAAAAATTTGGGAGTAATTAGCCATGAAAGCCAAGGAACAACAAGAGCAAACCAGATTTCCCAAACAGAGAAGTAAGCCTGGGACAGGAACACTGGTATCTGAAAGATGAGCAGAGGAAGAAGAGCCTGCTAAGAAGACTGAAAAGAAAGTCAGAGGCAGAAAAGAATGCAGGAAAGTCTGATATCTCAGAAACCCCGCAAAAAACAGTTTTAAAACAAATGCTACTTGAGAAGCCATGTAAAATAACTGAAAAGGAACCGCTGGGTATAGTAAACAAGGTTGTTTCAGGCAAGGTGAGTGTGGGGGAGAATACCCACTCACTGCAGTCGGCTAAGATGCAAGCGGGAGTGTGGAAATCCTGCCAGTTAAAGTAGCCATGCTTTTAAAAGTCTGTTTTGTTCACTGATGTAGCACAAGCATCTAGGATAGTACCAAGCACATAATATAAACCTTATTGATGTTGCTGCATAAAAGCATGACTAGAAATGGGAGAAAAATGAGTGACAGCGTGAGTAGCTACTGAAGATAGAGGGTGAGAAGAGGGCAGTATTTTTATTTTTAAATGGTAAAGATATGAACATGTTTAAATGATAACAGGAAGTAGTAAAGATGGTGAAGTAGAAAATGTAGAAAATAACCAAGAGAGAGAAAATCCCAACAGAAAGGTGTATGAATGGATGACTTCCGACTTCTAGAATGTGGTCATGGGGAATAAGTGACTGAAGTGAATGGAGAAAGGGATTAATGAAAATAAAGTCAAGGGATGAGACACCAATCAAGATAAAAGACAAACTGTGAGGCAGAAAAAGCAATCTAAGTACTGAGTACATGTATAACAATTACGAAGTTTTATATCCTTTATATCCTTTATTGCTAGATTCGCAATACAATAGTAAAAATGAATGAGTTATAGAAATATACTATGTACTTATTTAGCAACCCAAGGTCAATGGAAGAACTTTGGGAAACAATGTTTTTAGTTTAACTATACTCCATTTAGTGAGTATTGCACCTCAATTGCTATTCCTGAATTGCATGGAAGAGAAGCCAAGAATAAATATGTGACTTGGAAATTACATTTACTATCTTTGACCAAAAAGTATTCATGAAGGCATATTTTGCTACATTTATAGTAATATTTTTAAATCTTCTAATCTGAAACATTCTAGAGATAAATATATCAATATCTACAAGAGGGAAAACATAGTTTAAGTGAAAAGGAAACCACAATATCAGGATTTTGCTTTCAACCTATTTATTATGCTTAATTTTCTGACTTAAATATGGAAGCTTTCGGAAAATACTTTATTTAAAAGACGACAATTATTTCTAAGTACTGTAAGGCTTCTTAACTCTTTATTAAAAAAAGAAAGTTTGGACTACCATCCTCAAAAATTATATTTTTTAACATTAGATTATGAAGCAACAGAGTGTACAATCAATATTAAAAAATACTTCATTCTGGTTAATACAAAGGGCAGCATGAAGAAAATTTTTTGGGTGATGTATATTGGTTTTGGTGGTGGTTACACAACTCTGCATTTGTCAAAACCCAAAAAATTCACCAAAAAGAGTACATTTTACTGTATATAAATTTGAATATAAATGTAAACATTTTAAAGTTCCATCTGCCCATCAGTTTTGCCAGGGAGTCTGTTTCTTAAACCAATCAAATCTTAAAAGGAACTTTTCATGCATAATTTAATGTCAACTAAAGTCAAAGTATAAATTTAAATGTAAAAATGGAGTATTCTTTAAAAATTAATCTTTTTACCCTCCTTGAAAAAAGCAAACTCATTAAATTTCTTCCTTAGACTTTAACAGTGGGATTATATGTCTAACTCAGAATAGTTTTATTTTTATACTTCAAACTCTTACTCAACAGACTGTGAGATGTTTGGACAGAACTTCTGTTTCCTTCAGAAAATATTTCAAATTGTCAAGGACATAACTGGTAATCAATAAATTCAACACAGAGGCATAGATTTTTAATACCATAAGGTTTTCAATTTCTGTAAGGTCTTAAGTTATAAGAAAGGTACTCCAAAGCTACTTGACATGAGTCAGAATCACGTAATTATTGTTGAAAGGAACTTTAGAGAGAGATCACCTAGAGCAGGAGTTAGAGCAAACTTTTTCTGTAAATGGCCAAATGGTGAATATTTTAAGCTTTTTAAACCATATGATCTCTGCTGCAGATTACTTAACTCTCTTGTTATAGTACAAAAGCAACTACAGACAATAAGTAAACAAATGAGTGTAGCTTTGTTCCAATAAAACTTTATTCACACACATAGGAGGTAGCTGGATTTGGCCCATGAGCAGCAGTTTGCTCAACCCCTGAACTAGAGTCCAGCCCTTCCATTTTATACACAAAGAAACTAAGGCCCAGAAAGGTCACGCTCTTTGGCAAAGGTCACCAGATAAACAGTAGAAGAGCCAAATGCAGTATTTTTTTTCAAACCAGGTGTTCCTCCACAATACAACTCTAAAATGATGAATTTCCCATAGAGCTGAAACAGAATACTGAGTGAAATCTCAGAAAACTCAAGTGTTATAATTTCCTATTTAATTTAAGGTCAACAGAATTTAATGACCTATTTGAGCCAGGAACTAAACGTCAACCTATACATCTACACACACACACACACACACACGCGCACGCACGCACGCACGCACGCACACACGTCAAAACTCAAAAAATTCCTTGAGTGTAATACCGTTCTCAAAATATAGCAAGAGTTCAATAAATTGTGTTCTATAAATTCAAAATATAAATTTAAGTGCAATTCGATTTTAGGCATATTCATATGCAAAGATGCTTTTATTTAAGATTTTTATGATCTCAAAGAAAACATTCCTATTTACTTAAAGGTGCAATAACTCTGTACCACTAAGCAAGTAGGGACATCTAAAAGGAATTCTCAATTAAACCATTCTGAAAAATCTATTTTTAAAACAGTATGATACTTCCTCAGATAAGCTATCATACCTAGTAAATCTGCTCCTTCATCCACATCTCCAATTAGGCCCGAGCCAGCTGAAGACAATTCTTCAAAGAGAGATTCTGTATTGCGGTCAAAAGCTTTGTTCTCTATGCCTTTGGTGGGAGTGCTATGCAACAAAAAAACAATAAAACCAAATCAACAAATACTACAAAATCTTAACAGTTACAACAGGCTAAATTACACAGGAATTTTTTTTACCTATAATTTACACTTACTACAAAATGTAATTCTAAAAGATTTCTCAAAGGTTTCCTAAGTAATTCCCATTAAATCAGAGATAACTGGTGAAGAAAACAGAGAATGTTTGTGCAGTGAGATCCCAGCAAACATGATGGCATCGCATCCATGAGTGAAAGAGGCAGGATTCAAACACAGGCAGTCAGGCTTCAGAATCCATGATCTTGACTACCATGTTCTATGTCGTCTAGAAATGAACTAGCATAGTTGTTCTATTTTTCTTTTAAAGGCAACTTAACAGTATCTACCAATATTTTACAGGCAAATACCCACTGAGCCAAGAATTTGATGTCAAGAAAATGTCCTACAAAAACACTGTCACAAGAAGGCAATTATGTATATAAAAGGATGATTACAGACACATTTTTATAGTAGCAAAAAGCTAAAACAATCCAAGATCAGTAACAGAGCACAAGAAATAAGTTATGAATATACATACATACAGTATTAAAATTTTTAACTTTATAGTTAGAAACATTAAAATAGAGCTTTATAAACTAAAGAAACCTATTATATAAACGTGTCTTTTTAAAAGGAAGTTGCAAAACAGTATATATATAACATAATCCCATTTTTGCAGAGCTGTGGAAATGGGAAAGTATATTAATGTTATAGTAATAAAAAATGTCTACACAGGATTTCCAGTTAAACATGTTAAACTAGACATAGTCATTTATCACTCAATAATTCAGAAACTCAACTAAAATGATAGTAAAGGAATTAAAGAGGTATACATTCACAAGAACATAGGGAATTGAAAAAGAAACTATAGCAGATAAAATGTGAACAAAATTCTGTAAGATGGAAAACAGATGGGCAAAGAGTAGAAACTGATTTAACAGTCAAGAAAGCTGAAACCTAAGCCACTGGAGTTTAGAGAGGAAGTCGGTATGCTGCCAGAACCCCTAAATGGCCTGGGAATTGAAGGAACCAGCAATCTGAGGAGAGGAGCATGCAAGGGGGAACATAAAACAGAAATACTGGATGAAAGATGACACAAGAAGCAGTATGAGGCCTAGATCCAACCCTCTAGAAGAGTTAGACCTCCCTCCTCCCAGCAGAGCTCCCTGAACAATGAAAGCCAAGTTTAAATATTATAGGCAGGTAAATGGAGAATCAGCATCATTTACTTAAGTATGAGCAGAACAGCCACGGAGCACAAGACATTAAAAGAAGGCCTCTATTATACAAGAACCCAAAACAAAATATGATAGAGGTACTTGGAGCAAAAGGAGACAAGACAACACAGGCAGTAGCAGATACTTAAAAACAAAACAAAACAAAAATTTTTTTCCAGAAAAAATGTTGACAACAAAAATCTTTTAGGAAAAAAGTCAATGAGGGTTAAAAGATAAAGCTGAAGAAATCATCCAGAAATTAGAACAAAAATAGATGAGATGGAAAAGAAGGGAGAAAGGAACTATGAAAGTCAGTCCAGGATGTTTAATATCCACCTAACAGGTATTCCAGAAAGAGGAGGAAGAGAAAACTATAAGGAGAAATTAGGAAAAAATTTCTCAGAACTAGGAGATGTGATTTTACAGATGAAAAATTTACTGCATAACAAGATATAAAAGAAGACCTCTATACCAAGAACATCAAAAAATAAAACAGGGATAAAGTGAAGATCCTAAATATTCCAGGGAGAACATACAGAAAAAGGAATACCCCAAATGGCTACAGTTCAAACTCAGTATGACAATAAAGCAATGTCTTCACAATTCTGAAGGAAAATTGCTGAAGGTTTTCCACCTAGAATGCTGAATCCAGCCCAACTATTAATCACATTTTCTTCAAATAACATTTGCCACATTCAAGTCTCAAAAAAAATTTACTTCCTGTGCTACCTTTGCCCATAAAGCTAATAAAAATATGTTCTGTCAAAACAAAGGCATAAATCAAGAAGCAAGATGACATGGGATCAAGGAAACAGAAAACAACAGAGGAGAGTGATGAAAAGGATTCCGGGGTGGTAGTGAAAGCCAGTTCCAGGACCAGAGCAAACTCATGAACAGTCTAGATTGAAGAATGGGAACAGAAGATCCCAGGAGAGAGAGTGCCACTAGGAAACTGGTTTTGTGTTTGGCCATTTTGAGAGTGTTTACATTTATGATTTGAGGGTATATGTCAGTGAATTAGTGATAGCTACATAGAAATCTAAGCAAAAGAAACAAACAAAAACAAAAAGTCTCTAGTAATTCCAGAAAAACAGTTGCTTAAAAAAAAAAAAGGAAATGTAATCACTGTATATTCTGTGGCTAAGCTGTGATTAGTACTTACAGTCATAATGATATAATATAAACAATGAGTGTTAATTTAACAAAACTGAGATAATAATTAAGAGGATGAAAGGAAAGATGGTGGTTTAAGGAGCTATCTTCCACTATCAAGTCAACAGCTAATATGGCAGCCTTTTCAGCCAGGGTTGCCCAGTTGATCCACAGAACACAGAAAGTACATACATAGTTAGTACTATTCTAGATGCATAGGAATGTAACTAATTCATTAAACACAAAGGATGCCTTAGGGCATTAGGACTTAATTTTATTATAGAATTCCAGCTGAGAAAGAGAAGAACCAAGGAAGACCAGCATAAGGATATGATTCCGATACTTGAAGATAAACAGCAAAAGAGCTAGCTAAGAAATGACAGAGATTTCTACCTCTTGGGAGTGGGAATGAGGGGTGGGGGAAGGGGCAAAAGACTATTATGTCCTTCAAATCTCATATTACCATTTGACCTTAATATTGCAAAAATATATTAGTCAAACAAAATTTTTAACTTTTAACGACAAAAGAACAACTGTGAATAGCTGCATCTCCTAGGCTTAGGAGAGAATAAACAAGAAACAAATATTACCTTTTATATTACCTTTTATACTCTAAGTTATTTAAATTTTTAAATAAACAGTAAAGGGAAAAAATATTTTTATAAGGCAGTCTTCAAAATCAGAGTCTAGACTGAACAGAGCTCTACCTCTTGCTATCTTAGGAATAGGGGACATTTCTGAGTTTCCATATCTATAAAATAGGAATGAAGATCTCTACCTCTTTTAGTTGTAATTAAGATCAAACTATATAAAATGATGATAGCAATAATAATAGCTAACATTTATTATACTAGGCACTTTGCCAGTGCTTTAACATATATTGATTCATTTACTTCTCATAACCATCTGAGGCATTATTATAAAACCATTTTTTGGATGACAAAACTTAACTCAGATTCAAATCCAAGAAAGGATTTGAATCCACAGTCTTACCCCTAGGCTCATGCTTTTAACCAGTACTGCACACTACACAATGTCTAGCAGTGATCAATAAGTGGCATGTATTTTTAATGGTCATTATTAATTAATTAAAGGATAAAATTTATGGAAGAAAAATTAAAAGACAGTAGCTCCTGTTTAACATTCTTGAACATCAATCTATTTCAGATGACCTTGATTAAGATGAAATCTAACCATTCTTTTCCCATCACAAAACAGCCTTCCCATGTAAAATGAGACTACTTTCTTCCAATCATGAGATCATTACACTTCTGAAGGGAGTACGTTCTCTTCTTCCTGATCTGGGAGGAGGAACAAAGTTTGCTCAAATTGTTAATTCTCTCACTACTGCTTCTATATTTCCTCAAGTTCCAGAAAGTATCAGACACGACTTGGCTATCTTTTTTCCATCTTTCCATATGCTCTTAATCCCTGATGCTGCAAAGGGAACATTTCACAAAACATTAAACCATGTACAATGTCCACTTTCAAAAACAAACTGGAGTATAAGACCGACATTTCTTCAGCTAAATATTTGAATGTATTTTGTTTGGTCAGAGAGCAAGGAACAACAGTGTGCTTCTGAGAGGAGAGAAAAGGAAGGAGAAGATGTCTTAAGCTGACGTTTAGAGTACCTTGAGCCTTTATATCCACTGAGATCTTTATCCATATCCAACTCAGGAGTGGATTCGATGATTGCTTGAACTTCTGACTTCTCTTCATTTTCAGCAGAGCCTTAGGAAAGGACAAGATGACATAAATAATGCAAAAATCACATGCTGCCCCTAATATAGAAATCCTGTTTGCTTCTATGGTTGTAAATACATCATTTGAGCATTAACAAAATTTAAAGAATGGATTCCAGGAAACACAGGGTTAGACAATATGTTATGTATTCAATTAATAGTTAATAATAGAAACTAATAAATAACTAAAGCAAATTTTCACTTGTATCTCTTGGGAGACAGCAGAGTGTATCCCAGGCCAGAACTCTCTGTTTTAAATCCTATTTAGAGGGTGGAATATAGAGGAACTAAAGACATAGACTAATAATCTAAGGTAGGAAACAGAAAAACTGTCCTCTCACCTTTCAGGCTCTCCAACCCTCTAGCCCCCAAGATTTTTCACTCCAAACTTTATTTAATCATCATGTTTTTAAAGCTTATTTACAATTGAGTACAATGAATGATATATTTTATAAATCTATAGCAGCAACACTCCAATAACTAATTTGCTCATACCCACATCATCTGGATTTACTGAATACTTTTGACAGTAAAAGTAAAGAACTAGGGTCACTTACCTGTTGATACATTTCTAGTTTCTTGGGCTACCTGTACTTCAATATGCTTGCTTATCTCTGACTTATTTGGTGTATCTGCAACTTTCACAAAACCTTCGTTGTCTTCCTTTAAGGGAGTATCAGTAGGAAGTGCAGCCACATCTGAAGCAGCTGTTGAAGCTGGAGTGGTAGCTTTCGATCCTCCTTGGCTAACATCAGAAAGTTCATCCTACAAATAAAAATAATTACCGAAAAATTTTTAAATAAGTAATTTATTTTAAAAACCATTTTAAAAATGGGTTAAGAAATAAACTTGATGAGATAAAGTTCTATTAAAAAACTGTAACAGAATCTCTGATTAACAGAGGAAACCCATGAATAATCTCTAGACTATTCAAATAATACGGAAATATTTAAGCAAACCATATTTTCCAGACATACATGAGATTCTTCTAAATAGAAAATTTGAAGATAAAAGTCGATTGGCAGCATTAGCAATAACATGATACCTTAATGTTCATATCAGTTATTAAAGGCAACTGTAATAATGCACAATCATTTCATTATAAAAACCTACTTCAAAACACTCATAGCATGTATTATGTCGTAGCTACTCTAAAACAGCAGTGGAATAACAAGATTCTCAAATCTCAAGATAGAGTTTTATAAACAGTGTTCTTAAAACATCCTGCATATAGATCATTGGAAGTATCTGTTAAGAGAGATTTTTAAGTCCAAGGCCAGACTTTAAGCAGTGAGTTCAGGTAATTTTATAAGCAACCCAGGTGATTTCTATACTCACTAAAATTTAATAGGTACTATTCCAAGGTCTACAGATAAACTTCAAATGCTACATACCCAGATTGAGGTTTTATGCAAAAATTTGTGGACAATGCACTTTTCTGAGCAAAGAATCTGTAAGTTAGATTTTCAAAGGGGTCTGTGACTCCAAAATAATTAAAACCAGTTGTCCAATGGCTACTAATAATATGGAAGTTCTTTTAAAGCAAAGTACCCAGGTCTTAAAAAAAACAAAAGCTGAAAAAGTTTACTACTAGTAATAATAATGATTAGGGTAAATTTACTGAATTTACCATTCACTAAATATGTGCCTTTGGGTATATGATTTTATGTATTCTTTCTATACCTATGTTTTCTCATCTGTAAAACAGAAATAATGGTACCTAATTCACAGGATTATTATAAGTTATTCTATAAAGACTTAGCAATGTATTCACACATATTCAGTGTCTTAAAATGTGTGCTATTATAATTTATAACAATACATTATGTACAACTTCGAAAATTTTGAAATGCATGCTTTTGGGAGAAAAATAAACATTAAGTTATAGTATAGTAGGAGATGATTATTAGTGAATTTTAGTTTTATCTTTTTTAACTTTTAAGGAACATTGTTAAAAATGCAATATGGTTATAAAAATAATGGAACAGAATCCAAACAATTAAAAAAAAAAAAATTATACCAATTAAAATCACACACACACACACACTCCACAGCTTTATATTACACTATCTAAGAGATTTAGGTTGTTTTAGGTGCTGAGAAGAGGGTGTTCAAATTCAAATGTAAACTCTATTCAAGAACAGGAAATCATTTCTTGGCACGGTCAACTATGCATGCTATAATGGACAGCAACTACAAGGAAAACAACCACATTTGGAGAACTTAACTTCATCACTAAAACTCTAGTTTTACAGCATTAAAATGTTTTCATCTCCATTATCTTCTCTCAATATTAATTTACTATCATGCATTCTGATGTAGCACAAATTTCGCTACCGAGAATAGTTGAACAAATATAAAATCAACTGCCAGATGAGAACATAAGTTATGCAAAAGGAATTATATTTGCTGTGCAAATAGAGCTCTTTATTCCTTCAACAGTTTCCCTGCCACAATCCCTATCCCACAATCCTATCCCAGGCTTTTGGGTTGGGTTTGGTTTTGAAATGATAGGAAATGCAGCAAGTCACAGAATGTGGTCTACGGTCATGCCACCCTGAACAAGCCCAATCCTGTCTGATCTCTGAAGCTAAGCAGGGTTGGGCCTGTTTAGTACTTGGATGAGAGACCACCTAGGAAGACCAGGTGCTGTAGGAGTAAAAAACAAAAAATAAGGGATTGTAAACTGACAAGGTCTTTGCAATCTGTGAGGTCAACCAAGGGTTGCCTTGCCGAAAAGAAAAGAAAAAAAAAAAGAAAAGAGAAAAAGTCATAGAATGTGAATGCTATACCCAGCACAGAGTTACTCATTAAAATATCTTGAATATCTTAGTTCTGCTGGTGGGCTTATAACATACAGATAAAACCCAAGTGTTTGCTGAAGACCTTCATCCTTGCTATTTTCAACTTCTGACAGTTTATACTGCACTTAGACTTGTACAATAGTTAGTCAGCTGATTATTTTATTGTTCCTCATTATTTTAAAAAACACATATATCCATGACAGATATTGATCCATTTACCAAAACAAATCTCTGAGAATTTGAATCTACCAAAAGAAAAATAAAATGGTATATTCATGTTAGTATACATACAATACAAGGAATTTTCAGTGACATAGGAAAATGCTTATATGATAAACTGGAAAAAATGTATACTTTTAAAGGAATAATGAGAGACATATAAATGGTGTCATTTATAACAGCAAAAAACTGCAAATAACTTTAAGTGCTCCAAAACAAGAGATTAAGCAAATTACAGTACATCTATACAACAGAATACTATGCAACAATTAAAAACTGTGTTAAACAAGAATATTGCCGAGATGGAAAACACTCAAAATATTTTACAAAGAGACTGAGGATTAATACTGTTTTGTACAGTATGATCGATTAAAATATATATGGCTAGAAAAGTTCTGTTAGGGCATATTTGACAATTTTAATAGTGGTTGCCACTGGATAGTAGGATGAATGATTTTTGCTTTTTCTTTGCCCTTGTTAGCATTTATATTTTTTAAGTAGAAAAAGTTATAAAGCATATATCTATATATGGAGTATGGTCTCAAAAATTCTGTTTAAGTATATAAAGTGTCTAGACACAATAAGTAAAAATTTTTTCCTGCTTATAATATTTTTCAGTTTCCAAAATTTTTAACAATAAGCATATGCTATTTTTGTAAGGAAAAAAGTGAATTGGTTCTAAAAATATTTGAATTAATATAACTAGATGAAATTATCTCTCAAGAGAAAGTTTTGAGAAAAAGAAAATCATTCATATTCTTTATGAATGGGAAACTATCCACATTCTTTATTTCCTTGTATTTGAGATAACTTTATCTGTCATCTGAAGTACAACATTAACCATATTGCTAATAAAATTAGCTGAATTGTACAGCCAACTATTTTCTTCTGTGCATCTCCAATATTGGGCTGATTTCCAATGGACAGAGAAGATAAACCAAAGAAATAAGCAGTTCAATTCTCTATCGCTTCCTCCCTTCTTAAAATTAAAAGACAAAACTGCTAACTATTTCCTTGACCTGCTGACTGGCACCTAATACAGTAGTACCCAATAAAAATTTGTTTGTATGTCATATATAGTGCAGTACTAACCATACTTAGTCATGCAAATTAGTTTGTTTGGAGTTGAGTTGGAAAAACTGACAGCAATATTTCTGGAGCCAAAGAAGCAGCAATATTTCTGGAGCCAAAGAAGCCTACAGTGAAGACAACCAGAAGCTGCCCTGAATACCACTCTTGATTTTTGCTTTGATGTGTGCTCTATTAAAAAAATAAAAATGGTTTTATGTTGGTTAATCTAACAGCCTGGTTAATTCATATTAATGTTATCATATACATGAATTCCCACTCTTTGAAGGTTTAAAATATAAAGTACATTTTAAAATAAACAGTCCAGATTCCTGATGATTCGTAGTGAGGAACAGCAATTAAACCCACCAAAACTATGCAATTAAACCCACTACGGATTCAGAAAGCCCTAGAGAATATCAAGTTTGTCTACACCGAAAAAATGATATGGCTTTGAAGCTATTTGAAAAATAATTAGTTTAAGGTCAATCCTGCACTTGTCATTCACCTCTCAAATAAAAGTCAAGTAGAGATATTATTTCCTCTTCCTCCTTATCACCTCACCCCCAAGGTCTAGTTATTTTTACTACTTAAAAAATTACTTGGCAATTAAAGAGTTCACAACATAAACAGTATGGCAAATGCTTTCCTCCACAGGCTCATTTGTGAATCTGGGAGTATGAAATAAACTAAACAGGCAAGAGCTGAACCTAAAACAGGAAAAGGACTTTGAGGGTTAGGGTTATAAAGGAAGTGGTAACTTAGGATCTGCTTAGAAGAAAATGAAGTTTTAAATTTGTCCTAGGCTATCCAGATAACATGAGATGTATTTATCTGCAACTTATTTCCCTTTTATATTTTTATCACATAAAAATATTTTATACTCATTAAAATAGCTCTGTGTGGGATGTACTTCTGACAACTGGATCTCAGGGATACAGCATGATTACTGAGGAGGGAAAAGCTCTAATTTTAGGGGATAGTTTTCAAAGAGGTGTTTCTCCCTTCTTTCCAGGCAGTTGACATAAAGCTTCAAAGATGAGCAGGAAAGCACTGAGATGGGAAGTCTCTGCTACCATGTTTGGCTGGGGGTACAATATTGTATCTCCTATGGAAGGAACTATGAAATTCAGTCATTAAGAATGCTTCCAACTAAAGTTAGAACGAGGAAAGACGGCCTTAATATTAATCTGTTAAAGATAAAATATTTATCACTTTTGGTCAATAGTGAGCTCATAAGATACTGTGAGCAAAAGGAGGGGAAATTCTTACTAGGACCTAAGTGGAAACCGTAAGCATTTATATGAATTATTCAATATAAAGTTACATGGGAGTTGCATGCTATTATGTCACACTCAATCGGTAGTTTCTGGAGACCTCCAATTCCTATTTTATGCCGGTCATATGCCAAGTTGTGCAGTCTTGGCTAATAGTCTTGACTACAAATGCCACTTTATTTATCTGAAGATCACTGGCCTATCAATTCCAATTGCTTGATGGGATTAAGACACTCTCTTCAATGGCATATGTGGGTGCCAAGCATGGATACTTATATGGCTGTCCAGGGTTTCTGGTAACCCCACTTCCCCCTTTAGTCTTTAAGTAACTCTCACACTGTAGGCTATCACACAAGAATGACCACAAAAAGCAGGAACCTACTTTGGAATTTGGAAT